GAGGTCAAGACTAACACTTTTGGTATTCCAGATAACTGGGCAAGGAAGAGAGGAGAGCTGGGAGCCTCTTCTAAAACAGGCTGAAAATCTGAAACTAAAAAATGCATTCTTTACAACCCATGTGCCGCAAAGCATTTATGTTTGCACGAGCATTCTAATGAGCTCTTGGAGTGGATTTCCTTTTTCATCCTTAACAGTAGTTCCTGGAGGTTGTGTTGGTTTTTTCCCTTTCAAGGAAGTCATGCAGTTAGGTTATACGTCCGCCTGAAATCCTTCGGTGGCCTCAGGATGAAGTAGAGGCGATACACGCCTCCTCCCCCGACCACCTCTGCCTCCCAGATCTCGTGGTCTGGCCAACTTGTCATTCTCTGAAGGAGTCTGGTGTTTTCCCCTCTCTGTGTGTGCCTGTGCTGTTATTCCTCGACCCCTGTGACTGCAAGCTTGTCTTCTACGCTGTAAAGCCCAGCTCAGCTGTTTGCTGCTCCAAGAAATCTTCCTGCCTCTCCCAAGTAGAGTGAGATGTTCCTTTCTCTCTACGTGTCTAAAAACAAACACGTACTCGGGTGTGAAGACAACCTCTGGGCATCGATCAGCATCCATTCTAGGATGGGTAAAAATACCATCTACTCGCAGAACTCAGGGCCTCTCTGCTGCCTCCCGCCCACCTGGGCACTCAGTTGACTGGGACCATGGACCCTGCCCTCTGCTCTGGGAAGCGCCTGCTCATGCCTCTGCTGCGGGCTCTTTGCAAGAAATCATTTTTCCCCTTTAAGAAATGAGGTTTGAGAAACAGTTTGCCAGAACAGCTGCCTTATATGTGGATGTACCAAATATGTTAGGTGAGAAGAGTTTTCAGAACACACTGCAGTGGTCACCTGCAGTGACCTGCAGACACCTCTCGGGAGATGATCACAGGTGTCTTCGGAGCTCAGAGCCCCCCATACCAGTCCCCACGGAGGTGTTTGGGGCCTGGTGAATGCCTGCAGGCTCCGTGGCAGCTCTGGATGGAGTAGGAGGGCCCAGGCATCAGCATTTCGAACAGCATGGAGGGGAACTCCAGCCTGGGTTGAGAGCTGAGCTGCTTCCTGCCGGCAGCATCTGCTACAACAATCCTGTCCTTTTCTCCTGGCCACGAAATGCCCAGGGCCGTTAGGTGAAAGGGTTATGGATAAAAAGTTTACCTTTGACGTCATGCGGGATTTATCAAAGTTAGGGTTCCTCCCTTTAGGCCTGGCTTACCTGTGGGACCAACAGTAACTAATTCCAGAATATTTCATCACCCCCCAAAAATCTGATGTCCAGTAGTACTGACTCACTATTTCCCACCCCTCCCAGCCCCGGCCTCCACTCATCTCCTCTCTGTCTTTCCGGATTTGCATAGTCTGTATGTATGTAAAGGGAATCCTACAACGCGTGGTCCTTTGTGTCTGGAGTCTTTCACTTAGCATGTGTTCAAGATTCATCCATGTTGTAGCATGTGTCAGCACTGCGTTCCCTCTTATGGAGGAATAATATTCCACTGTATGGATATACCACACTGTGTCCATTCATCAGTTGGGAGACATTTATTTGGGTTGTTTTCACTTTGGAGCTATTATAGATAATGCTGAACATTCGCATGTAAGTTTCCGAGTGAACGTATGTTTCCGGTTCTGTTGGGTTTATACCTAGGAGTGGAATGGCTGGGTCATGGGGTCACTCTCTGTTTAATATTTGAGGGACTGCCAGACTGTTTTCCTCAGCTCCAAGGCGTGTTCTTATCCTTCTCCTGGTACTTGCCACAATCTGTTTGTTCTACAACTGTTTATTGTGAGTCTAGTCCCCTTCTAATGCATGACCCTCGGAGGCACAGCCTGCCTCCGGCATTTATCTGTTGTACCCTGGGATCCAGTCCTGGGCCTTGCACAGAGTAACAGCTAAATAAATTGCCTGGGTGGAGGGTGAGTGAAAAGAGAGGTCACATCCAAGGCCAACTCCCCAGTCTGGTCCCCTGTGGCATTATCGAGCATCAGCACCAAAGGCAAAGTAATTGATATTCTCAGCACTAGATCTTTCTAGTTCCTGATACTTCCCCAGAAAGTCACTTTACCTCTCTGGGCCCCATTTCCTTGTTGCATAAGGGTTGGGAGCAGATTCCAGAGTTCGAATCCTGGTTCCGGCATTTATCAATTGCTAAATATTGAGCAAGTTACTTGCTCATGTAAAACCCTATTTCCTTACCTGTAAAATGGGCATATTAACTTCACTGAGCTGTTTTGAGACTTCAATAAAATATCACAATTAAAGCGCTTAGAATGATGCCTGGCATGTTAGTAAGGGGTTTGATAATATTAGCGATTATTATCATTCCATAATGTATTTATTTGTTTTTTCTCTTAAATTCATATGTTCCACCTAGAAACTTGCAGGCTTTGTGAAATTTTTGTTGGAAGGTGAGGTACTTAAGCAAGACGTTTAAAGTAGCATAATTTCTGTGATGTTATTACTCCTTCTCAGCGTTGGGGGGCAATATTCTTCTACCATGAGGCACACATTAACCTGACCACATATTTATAGTCTCTCTTAATGTTGATACTTGGCATTGTATATTCTATACTCATATAGTATTTACATTATAACTTTTGATATACTTAATGTGAACAGGCTCAGTTACTTTGCTAGAAACTTCTAACAAACAAAAAAAATCGACTCTCATAGAGCAAACAGTTTGTTATATGAGAAGTTGCAATACTTCTATGGTGTTTTGAAGGTATTTTGCTAATCATACTAAAAATCGATGTTATCGGTGGATTTGAAATCAGAGGATACAAAGAATGCGGAGTACCCCAAAAATGAGAGTGGGCACTTAGGTTTAAATGCCAGAATTCCCTCATGTCCGCTTTTTCCCTGCAGTATTTTCTTCACTGAGCCTCGGCCTGCTCCCAGAACGATCCGCTACTCTGATGGTGTACGAAGATATTGTCCAGATAGTATCAGGATTCCAAGGTATGTTTAATAGTTGTTTGATTTTTGTATTATTATTAATATTATTTTTGCTTGACAAATCATAATTGCATACACTTATGGGGTACAGTGGGATGTTGTATATACACAATGTGGAATGATTAAATCAACCTAATTAACGAATCCATTGCCCTTTTACAATGGTGAGACATTTGAAATTTATTCTCTTAGTTATTTTGGTATGTTTGATATTTAAAAGGAAACCGATAGTGGCTTTTGGGCCA